ACGTCAACGCTGTGCCCAGCGCGGAGAGGTATTTGAGGACTAATTCTGGTGGGGAAAGATTCTCAGGCCCCCCGCGTCAGAGGGCTTCGGAGAGCGCTGGCACGCCACAGGGACAGCCTCCGGCCAAGAGACCGTACCTGGAAACTGCCAAAGCAGCTCCCTCCCGGCAAGGTGACGTAGCAGACGTAAGGGGGACTGTTGGAGGGGACCATCTCGTACACCACGAGGGCTCCGTTTTTCAGATCGGCTCCACGTGACTGCTTCATCTGCCAGAACTCCTGGAGGGCCTCCACGACGTTCACTGAGGAGACAGGAAGAGAATCGAGTTCAGACACGGAACGCAAGAGCCTGGGACGCTGGTTTCCTCAGGTATCACCGCATCCCGAAACGGAAGGGCATAAACGTTAGCGTGCTCCCACCTACGCGAGCAGGACCCCGGCCAGGGAGCTCAGGTATGTCTCGTAGTAAAAACCATCGGCTCCAAAGGAAGCTGTGGGTGCACGATGTCGACACGAACACGCCTCTGCCAGCAAGAGGAACGTACGGGCAACCACCGAGTTACAGAACAAAGCTTCCTACAGAAAAGCTCTTCTCCTTCCAACCAACCTGGGGAAAAGCCTTCAGAAGAGGACTTGGGAAAGGCTGCGAAGCAGCAGGGCAGCGAGGTGTTTTTTCCCTCCCCGAGAGGGCTGTCAACAGGCTCAACAGGTTTGCTCACCTGCCTCAGCTGATCCTCAATATTGACATTCCTACTTTTAAGATAAAAATAAAGCAGCTGACCTGCACGTGCACTGTCAGACCTGCAGAAACCACCTGCCTCTGTGTTGAACATCACGTACCCAGCTCAAAACAACAGGATGGAGACACAAGAAGTGACCCGAGGCGTAAAGCTCCCCAGCTGTGGCTTTCTGGCAGAACTCCCTGTAATTTGGGTGGGAGTATTTGACTGCACACAGAACATGTAACAGCACAGAGGAGAATCCAAGCAGCTAATTGGAGAACCTCCGTCGTGCCACTCGGCATGGGAGGATGTATAACCAAACGGTGAATCACAGGATAAAACCTGGATTAGCTCTGTTACAGTAAGTGTTTTTTCCACCCCAGTTAGGAAACCAGAGCCTAAAACTTCAGCCCTCGTTGACTTTGATAATTAGAGCATTTTCAGGAGAAGTTGTTTTTAAAGCAGGCACCTCTTCTGGAGCACCAGATTTGCTAGACGGGGTTTGAGCGCTTACCCAGCTTTAACGACCCAGCAGCTAGCCCACACCGCGCACAGCCACCCAACACACGCAGCAATCAGCTTGTAGCCCCAATCCACGAGATTAAATTTGTCTTATTTTAACAGGCACGCAAGAACTAGAGGTGTTTGCTGTAACAGTGAGCCAGCTGTCCTCTCCTCCTCTTAATTTCTGAATCCCCAGCGTCGCAAGGACTTCCATCCAGCTGTTCTAAGTTTACCCACCCTTTATTGTGTCAAGCTTTGGGCAAGAAAAATAACCCTCGTAGCGTCTAACGCTCCGAGTCCCACCGAATTTGCTCTAAGCTTCTTTCTGCGTTGAAGAGTTTGACAGGTAGCTGTAGAAAAAGCCTGCCCTCAGCTCTTCCTCAGCACTCCTTCTGAGCCTTTTTAATCTCCGCAATCGCTTTGAAGCGAGACGATCTGCAAAACAGATTACAGCAACTCCTCACTAATGCAAGAGCCGTTCAAAGGACTCTACCCCACAGCTCGCTTTTTTAAGTAAAAACGAGAAAAACACGCCCAAAATCCCCAGGCAAGCCCTCCTGTGAGGAGCTGCATACAACGCAGTAAGCGCCGAGGCGGAGCGCCACGCGGGACCAGGCTGCTCTTCTCCAAGTCTCCCGGGGTAAGCTATAAAAAGGGAGGTGAATTAGAGGCCACGGGCCAATGTGCAGTGCCAAGGCCATCCCGGCCAGCCTGGCTGAGCTTTTTGGTTGCCCACGCAGCGCTGGAACTTTCTAGGTCTCCAACCAGGCGGCTTTCAGGAGGACAGCGTGCTCGAGCATTGTCCTTCGTCGTAGTGCTTTCTCCACGATGAAGCCAGGCGAGGAGTCCCCAGCAGTTCCTCACTACGCATTTCCCTCCTCTTTCAACCTCAGGCTTTTCAGGGCGTTTGCTCATAAAGCAGTCGCTTTGGATTAATTTCAGGTTTAATTTGGGTTGGGTTTTTTTGGTTCTTTTGATGAAAGATGCAAGACGGGGGCAATTTTCCACTGAAGGCAAACAAAAAGCCATCACAAACAATACGAAGTTCCCTGCCAGTTCTCCAGCGCACCAACTCCCAGACAGAATTCCCATCCATCCAGGCGGATTCCCTTCCCAGGGACGGTGTCAGTCACGCACATAATCCCCAGCGGATTTGGGGAGACAATGCCCGATTCAATGACGGCTTCAGGGACCGTTCGACACGGGGCGACTGAGACTTCGCAGCAGCGACCACACAAGAAACTGCCGAGAAAGCCGAGCGACGTCAGGCAACGCAAATTCTCACGACGCAAGGGAACGACTCTGAAAATTCAGAGAAATTACAGTTTGGTTTCATTTAGTGAAGTCTGAGAAGCCGGCGTTAAGAGCAGGTTAATGAGGAAACGCCGTGCAACGCGGACGCGGGCACGGAATTGTGTTTTCAGCCCAAGACAAGGGTTCCTCTATGCCAGGCGCTGGCTGGGTAATTCGTTAGCGACCGGAGCAATAGGTCAGACAGCTGAGAAGCATCTAAAAGAGGTTTTCTTCCCAGACTGGATTCAATGCTTCCAGCTGCCACAGGCAGGACGGTTTTAGGAGACGAGAGAGTAAAATACCTAATTGAAACTCTACAAATGCTTCGGAACAATACGCTTTTATAAGGCTGGAGAGCAAAGCGTGCCGCTACGAACACAGCCCACCCCATCTGCCCTCTCCCCAGCACAGCTCCGGCTCCAACGCTGCCCGTCGCAGACAAACGCTGCCCGAGCGCTGCCGCGTGCTGAATCCAAAGTGAAATCTTGGTCTGAATTTAGCTCCGGATCGATGATTTTCAGCCTTCCTCATTCACCCCCCCCGCCCCACCCTGCCATTAAATCACAAAATAGCGATTTGGGGAAAGGGGCAGGAGATGGGAAAGTTTTTTTGCTTTGCAGAAAGGATCCTAAATCCTGTCGTGGCTCATGCTTGTGGGAGGACAGTCCTGGAGAAAGCCGGGACACCTTCTTTTTTATGGGATTTTAATCCCATATAGAGCACGACACGCAATGCGGCGCTCGGGCTGGGGAGAGGGCAGAGAGAAAAATGACTGGATGGTCTCAGTGCAGGTAAAGATGCGGAAGAAGTGATGTATTCTTTGCGCTGCACATAAGCACGTGTTTAACGGGAAACCCAACGAGCAAAGAACGCTGTTTTCAATGCCTGAAAGTAGAACAAGTCTCTCTACCAGCTCAAAACACTGGAACTCTTACTATCAGCATCAGTCCGTGCCTTTTAGTCTGTTTGTTTGCATTTCTGAGGGCAGGAGCTGGAAACGCTGATCTTCTAGGAAAAACTGTCACCCATCTGTGGGGGCGGGGGGGGGAGACCCACAGATTTACAGAGCGCTGCTTAACCCACGCGGGGCGGTCCCTGCCAGAGGCTTATCCTTTGGATTTGCCACCGCACGGAAAGACGAAGAGGAGCCGGGAGACACAAAGCAGAGCCTGCTCTGACTATCAGTCATATCTGTTTATTGCTTTGGAGCATAACCCCGTATCCCGGCGTTGTGTATACGATAGCACATCTGACTTGCATATTAAATACAGCAGAGTAAGTGATTCCACATGGCGCCGAGTTCCTCCGGAGCCAGACGAGCAGCGGTCCCCCCGCCAGCACTCACCATTTGGAAGCCTGCGACCGCCTCTGTTGGACCTGCTGCCACAGCCGGAAGGAGTCGGGAACTCAAAATAGTTGCAAAGTGTCTCCTTTCGGGTGGGGTGGAAGATTCTTTTCAGCACAAGGTCAGTAAAATATGTGCTTTAACCTTTTTTCCTCACTTCTGTACTTTTTTTTTTTTTTTTATATATTCTTCGTTAAGTGTACAAGAAGCCTCTCGCACGACCGGGCGCCTCTGATGCAATACTTGGAGCCCCGCAGCGACGGAGCGTGGTGGAGTACTTAACACCCCCGCAACAGCCTCTTCCAGCACCAGCAGCCCGCAGCGTTGATTCCTCCCCCCAGCCACGGGGTTTTTCATCGACGAGGTGCAGCCGTGCGGAGCGCAGAACTGAGGGGGAACCCAGGAAAACTGCGCCCAGCGGGAACGGCCAAGGATTGCCCAGCGCAGCCCTCTTCACCGCTGCCTTCGTTGAAAGAAACGAGGTTTTTTTTTTTTGTCCTGACATCAAGTTGAAGTAAAGGAATTATAGAGAGGACTAAATCGCTAAGGCACAAGAAGAATCCTCCTTCTTTAAAATATCAAAAAAAAAAAAAATATCTAAAAACCAAACCCAGCCTCCACTTTCTCCAACTTTATCACACGTTTACCTGTTAGAAGCACAGCGCAAGTAGGAAACCTCAGCTTTAAACCACTTGTCTGCCCAGCTCAAGTTCCTACGCCTGCCTTC